GCGCGTTAAATATCGCATGCGATTTATCGTGCAGCCCTACTCCAGTCCATCGATTAATATCTTGTGAATTAAAAAAAATCTGTGTGTTTGTAAGAAACAAATCCATCAAATTGCTATAACTTTTAACTGTCGCTTCTGGCCAGAAGTAAATCCATAATAATAATGCTTCCTCCAGTGAAAAAGCCCACCCCTGTTGTCCTCTCACGTCAACATTGAGAGATATGTGCATATTTGCACATGTGTTTAGATCTGTGCGTATTTCTCTCCTGGTTCAGATAAGATGACTTTTTCACTGTTGAAAGCAATATCATACATAGAAGACTATTTTAGCAGGAATCAACGGTTTGAAGTTAAAATGCCTTGAGGGTGAGTAAATTTTCAGCAAATGTTAAATTTTGAATGAACTATTACTTTAATGTGAAAGCAATTCGTGTGAACAGCATGTGACCGAGATGTTTGGTGTAAATACAAGTCTGCAAAACATATTTCTTAGTATGGAGTCATGGACACCATACTGTGAGCTGTAAAAGTCCTTGCATTTAAGTCTCTCATTTTTGTCTCATTTATTGGTAAATGTCACTAAAATCAGTAAAGCTTTACTACATTTAAACATTTGGCAGACACTTATCCAAAACAACTTGCAAGGCATTTAAGGTACTCATTTTACCAGTTTGTATGTTCCCTGAAAATCAAACCCACAAGCTTGGTGTAGAGCACCATGCTGTGCCAATGTGTGCACATGGAACCTTTTTATTGATGATTTTATTTACTTTGACATAGATATACAAGCAGTTTCTAATCCTAATAATACCTTATTATTCATGTGGTAATTCACGTGGCGATTTGGGTAATTTGCAGAACTGTTTCTTTTTATGCAAGCATGGGGAGAGCTGATGATAAAAACGACTGGTTTAGAGGTCTCTAATGACCTGTTGCTGAATGTGTAAATGCTCTTTTGCTTTTCAGCTGTCATTGACAATAAAACTACAGATAGACTTGCTTGTTTACTTTTCTCACTCAGTGCTGTAAAAAAAACTAACGTTTTGCTGTACCTTCATCTTAATAGTCCAGATCTTAGTCCAACTAAGATCTTCTGAGAGATGACAGATAAATCTAAAACAGGTGATAGTTTCTTAGGCAGTTTTCAGTAATATATAAGTCTTTCATATGCAATATTCATATTCATGTGTAATATTCATGGTAATCAACCACATATGTCAACTCTTAAAAAATGTAATAGGTTTATATTTAGCAATCACCCCTAATAATCTTCAAAAATAAATAAATGGCTTAGGCATATTGGTGGTATATTAGTAATCTTCATCGTTCACTTCACTCATGTGGCAATTCAGTATTTTTTTCAAATCAGCAGTTTTATTGTAGTTTCATATTCAACAAACATATGCTGAGCTTTAAATGGGTTTGAATGTATAACCTAAATAAATGTGCTATGAAATGAACTACAAATGTAAACACATTATGATAACAACCCTTTTATGATATTA